CCTTTAAAAAGTATAGCTGTATTTATAATGAGAAACACAAATCTAGAACACACTTCGCTTTAAAATCTAGTATCAGTAGTTCACAAAAGAACTTTCTACTATTACGGTTAAGCAAGAGGAGAAACCACTGAAAAGTTAATGTACTTATTCCATACTCTGTTTCATTAATTTCCTAAAATTTCTGTAGAATGTTATTGGATAATTAGATAACCATAGCTCTTGTTGTTTCAAAAAAAGTTTCCTATGTAAATTAATTCATACAATTTACATGTGACATAAGCTTGAAAATGTGTCTTTCAGTAAACCCATCTTCTTTTGTATTCTGACCAACATAGACATGAAACCAAAGTGAACTTGGATTGCTCCTTGTAGCACTGATATTTCTTCCACTCACAACAGTCCTTGTCTTAATGAAAGAACAAGAGGAAAGCAGGCTTCTTGCAAGGCGTTGAAGTATGTTTCCTCTTCTAACTATATCATAGGAAACAAAAAGTGCTCGATTAATGAATTCAATTAGAAGCAATCTCCTGAGTGGGCCTTAGTGTTTTCCCTCAGTTACATTTGGGAAGTGGCCAAGGTAGGAGAGAAAGAAGAGGAAGGGACCAGGCTGGATTCCCTCCTTTGTTGGAAAAGCCTTACTCCAAAAACATTGATAAAGCCTTATATTTGGGTGAGTATGGTCCTTCTTATGTCTTGAAGCTGGCAGAGCTCTTGAGAAAAATAGCATATAATTATTGCACTTCAGATTATTACTGGTAATGGTGATGGTATAGAAATGTGTGTCTAAGTTAAACCACATCATTCCCACTGGCAGTATTTTATACGTGGAGGTCCTTAGAAATGAGGATGGTGTCCAGATGACTGCTGGCACTTCATAGACTTTGGCCAAAACAAATGGGAGAGAAGGAAAGGGGGCAACAATCATGTAGCTTATCTTGTTTGTTGGTTGATAGTTTTCTTTAACAAGAGACTTCACAGATTTCTAGAAGGGCCTGTTCTGGCATCCACTAAAACGACAGTGAGCTGACGTGGTTTCTCTTCAAAGAAAATAAGGTTTGAAATGTAATAGTAGAGGCGTAGATTGGACGAAACAGACATCGGGTGAGCGTTTGTCATCAGCTGCTGCTGGGTTTGAAGATTCTGCATACTCAGCAGGCAACAAACTAAAGTTGTTTCGTCTGGAAAACTTGTGAAAAATGTTGGAAATGCTTTGCCCATTTTTAACAAAATGAAACAAGAAATTGGAAAATTACAAAATAGGCTAAGGGGGAAAAGCTTCAGAAGTCCTGTATATCACCTCTTTTGAAATCAGGGACTACAGATAATGGAAGTCAATCTAGGAAGAAGAGAAAGTTTCTATACAAATGGCACTGGATTTCAACCATCATTTACAATTTTCTGCTTTCTATACAATGTATGAGTAAACAAAGAGATTCAGTAAAAAAAAGAAACCAAAGACATTTAGAATAAAATATTCTCACTCTGAATTGAGGAATGAACATTCATTATTCAATTCAAATTGGAAAAGACAAGGAAAGCTATCAGACTAAATTAATAGGAGCTGACAGCACTGTAGATGACTCATTGCAATTCAAAAATTTTATAAGAGCGTAGAGGAAAACACAGAGAGCAGATGGTGCAAAGAATTCTTAGTACAAAACTGAGATCAACACTGAGATCAAGAGCCAGAAACCATCCTTCAGCCTAGTACCAGTGTCAAGAAAATGCTGCCATTAAAATGATTAAAAGTCATGCTGGGATTCGAGCTTTTTTTTTTTTTTTTTTCCCTCAAATGTTTTCAGTGGATAACCAAATTAGAGCTCTCCTGCAGTTACTGGATTTGAAGAAACTAATTAAAAGAACTTCCCATTGATTCATCGTAGGAACATTTTAGCAGTCTTAATATACGAGCAAATAGGATTTACCCATCTTACAAATTTCCAGTTTAAGAGAGCTCTGACAATGAATGGGTAACATTGTTGGGGTCTAAATCATTTCTGTTCTACTGAGCTAATCTTATAAGGAGCTGACATTTTTCCAGTGAAAATATTGTTTTTAAAATGATAGTAACTGAAAAAATAGAAACTTGACTAGCTGCAACTTTTTATTACTTATTCTTAGGTGCTTATCTCTTTGTACAATAAAGTTCTGACTGAAATCCATTTCCTTTTTTAAGTAATTATTTCATCTTAAGTAATTATTTCATCATACAGGTAAATTCTGTATGACAATTAGTAGCATCCTTCTGAATGGATAAGAAATGGTTAATGGCTTTTGGTTTTGTTTTATTGTATTGTGTGTGGTGTGTAGGTTTTTTTGTTGCTGCTGTTGCTGTTTTTTATAAAAAAAAGTCACAAATACACAGTATCCAGAGCCTTACACACACACACCTTCACATTTTGATTTATAGGATGCAGTGCTGGCACTGTGGTGCTGGTGTGATGTGAGCATGGGACCTTTCAAGCGCAGGTCAACCACAGCTGTTTTACAAGAGACTGAAGTAAATATCTTCCATTATTTTACTCCTGAGCTCTTTCCCAGGGAGAAGATGTTGGCTACTTGCTCAAATGGAAGAGTTACTGCAGTGAACTCAGACAGAATATGTACTTAAATTGTTGTAGAAATTTGGGAATGAGAGCCCAAAGAAAAATGCACCACATGTTACGTCATAATTTGAAGAAGTATAATATCAGTAATCTATATTTCAAAGAGCCTAGAAGGATCAAGTGTTTTCTGCAGGCATACTCAATCATTTTGCAAGGATTTGGCTATTGGACCGATGAATGCACACTGCAGAGAGGTGAAGCCATGGTGTGCTAGTGAGGGTGGCCCAGCTGAAGTCTCTGAGGCACGAACAGACGAGGTGGATCAGAAAAACCTACAGAGCTCCCTTAGCCTCTGCCTTGATGCCAGTAAATGACTCAAAACTGCAAATAATAAACAAGTATATATGAGCAATTGTCTTCATAGGCTCTTGATTAGTGTTTGACAAATACAAATCCATTTTTGCTGCCTCGTGTTTTCCTTTCAACAGCCCTGTCTTTGTTCCCTACTTGGAGTACTGGATTTTACCCCAGAGTAATATTACCAGAACTCAGTTTCATCCTCAATTTTCAAGAATAAAAATTTCATTTTAACTGAGGGAGTAGTTATACGTACCCAGGAGTAACGTTTTGGCCCAGAACTTCTGAATGTGTTTTATTCATTTATTTGTCTATTTTGCTCTGTTTAGTTATATGATGCTGTTTGAGGTCTTCCTGAAAAGTAGACTAATTCTTTATTCAGCAAGAGAGGATTCTTTTTTTTCTCTCTTTCCCTTGCATCAGACCTATGGTTAAAATGGTGTAAGGTTTCCTGTGTAAGCTCTGTTTTATCCATATCACTTTTGGTAGTTTTTTCTTCTTTTGGTTATTTTCTGTTGGCCTGTTAGCTTTTTATCCCATCATAGAGACTGGTCTGTTGTGCCACAGAATAGTTATCCACAGGGAGGACTGTAAGTGGGCAGGGGTTTATTTTCTGTCTTGCTGACACAGAGAAACGGAGATTGCTATACGTGTGTCTGTGTGCAGAGCTTCCCTTCTTTCAAAGGAAAACAAGCTGTTCTGTTTTCTTTAGTGTTTGTTTCTAGCTTGTATTTATTGATTTCATTTCTTAAACTTTCTGAAATGTTTACAGGGAAGTAAACAAAGGTGAGGAATTTTGTGACTAGAAGCAGATTCCTATTTCACTTTACTAAGGAGACTCCTTTATTCAAAAGATAAAAACTGAAGTAATAAAAGTATGTTATTTCAAGAGGCAGCTCCTTAGGAGCTTAGAAGAGGTTAAGTATGATTCACAATAGAGAGGAATGAGGGAAGGTGTGTAATATGGTGGTATATGTTATTGCAGCGACAAATAGGGAAAGGTAAATCACTGGAAGAATTTTTATGTATATATATGATACAGTCTCAGGAAGCTGGTGGGACTCTGATGTGCTGTTCAGTAACTTAGTCGTTCAGCTTTCTCTGTTGTCTTCAAGACTGTTGAAAGATGTGACTTTTGTTGTTCCATTTGGGAAAGATTCATGTCAATACTTGTAAAGCAGCTTTAGTATCTAGAAAGTATTAGCCTTCTTTTGCCTTACTTGACCAGTTTAATCAAATAAGCAAATAGAGTTTCTTGTGTTTGAATTTTTGCCTCATTTGACATTGTTACACAGAATGTCCTTCTACGTCCTTCTTCTTTTCCCAAAGGGCGGCAAATCCAACTCCCAAAATCAGTTAGACCCACAGTGAGATACCTTTGCTCTTGGGTTCATCCACCCATGTTGGGCCCTTTCTGAAAGCTGCTGGAAGCAGTTCCTGCTCAGTGCACAGCTGCAGCCCTGTGGTGTCAATTACTGCAGGTAGGTTGGGGCACCAATGCTTTCGTGGCTTGCCCTAACCCTGCCACTGCCCTTGCCTCCCCTAACAGGCAGCTGTTGAATGCACACAGCTACTGCCCTGATGGACTGGAATTGTTTTGCTTCTGCCAGCCCAGGTAGCAGGAACGGAGTATGTTATGCCTGTTTTAGGTTGTGTCACATTATTCTACCCCAAGGAGTAAACCAAATGTTTGTTCTACTCTAGCATAACTATAACACTTAACATAGGGTATCCTGAATTAAGAATTTAATCTCAGAAACACAGCAGTGCTCTGGACATGATGTTCTCAGAGCGAGCGGCACATCCTGGTCATGCACAGACAATGGTGGAGACTGACTCAGGCACTTCTTTCTGGGTGAGAATTTTTTGTATATAGCCATTTCTCAGAAGCTGGTCTGCACTTTAATAAAGGAGTTACTGGTGTGTACTTGAAACATTAATTCCAGGTTATATGGTTTCCCTGAGAATTGCCATCTGTCATGCTTTTCTGCCTGGAGGTCACTCAAAGTTACCTCGGGTTGGTATCCTAAGACAGTAGGTTGAAAGGATAAAGATTGTACTTTGTCTTTAACCCGTAGTTATCCTTTTCCCTTTCAGCACCCTCCTTGATAGGTATGGTAAGGAAGGACTGGGCTTCCCAAAACAGCATTGCCCTCTCCTGGCAAGAGCCGGACTTTCCCCATGGAGCCATTCTGGACTACGAGATCAAGTACTATGAGAAAGTAGGTCTCACTTACAGCATCACCCAAACTCAGATCCTAAAGAATAATATGTTTCATATTTTTAATATTTAAAAAAATACTTTTAAACTTTTCACTTGATCCCACGTACAGTGCTTTATAAGTAGACATTTTGTTTTGCATTGAGTTTTTGTTGTTGTACTTCTGACTTGTTAATGACTGTCTTGTTTCATGTCAGAACCAAGTAGAGCAAGCAGGCAGTGGAGACACTTGTCTCATAGTAGCAACAGTTATGAACACAACAGATCAGTTACTCAAACATATTTTGATACAAAAAGGTTTATATTGGAATGACACTGAAACAATATGATGAAGGTGAACATCAAAATTTGATTTAATTTTGTGGTATTATTTTGCAATAATCTGTGCTTAAATGACAGAGTCCATCAGCCTTATTTAGAGGCTACAAGAGATAGAAACTGCAATGCGTTTTTATCAGATTTCTGGTATTTTGTCAAAATTATATGGTTTCACATCAAACTGGACAATCACATGCATTACAACAAAAGATACAACGTCTTATGAGAGCATAATCCGAAGCCTGCCTCTCCCAAAGCAGAAAACACATGTCATCATTTCCAACTGGCTACAGGACCTTGCACAAGCGTAAAATTTAATGTTAATCAGTGGCTTTACTCCTAGAGATACAGGAAAGAAAATCATGGTGTCTGTTTCTTAAGCAGTAATAAGCTGACCTTCTTGCTGTTTCTCTCCTTCTTGCTGTTTCTCTGTCCCCATCTGAAAGTCACAATGGAGCTAACGGATAAGTGAGAAGATCACAAAGAACAGCAATATAAGCCAAGACATGAAAAACAGATGTAATGATTTTAAGCTCTGTGGATATCAGAATTTCCTTCCTTGGCAGCCCTTCTCTATTGAGATTATGCAGCTTTAATGATGCTAAACTTGAAAAAAATTCAAACAATTTAAATAGTATAGCTAGAGAGAGGAAACAGATGATTGCTTAGAATATTTGGTAGCCAAACCAAGATAAATTTATTTTCATGCACTAGTGGAGCTCTTTCAAGTTTCGATCCATCACCATAGTAAACTACACTATGACTTGCACTAACCACTTTTTGTTTATCAATATTAAAATAACAATCAGGTGAATTAAAATAGACTAATGTATACACTTTACACCTTAGTAAAGTTACACCTACACCTAGTAAAGTTTACACTTGCACTTCAGTCTGTTTACACTTTAGTCTGTTTCTACAGTAAAAGTACTATTTTCTGTTCTTTTATAAAGTCTACAGAGTACTTTTTTTTTTAACTATTAACTTCTCTGCGCTCCTAGGTGTGGGGAGATAAATGCACTGCTGGCATTTTCCAATACTCTTGTATAGGTATTATTTTTCTCCCTAAATCACTGACTGGCCTGCATGCACAGCTCTTGAATGCACCTTTTATTAGTAAGTCAAAACAGATGTGTTTTCCTCTATCAAAGCTATGTAATAGGTAGAATGAGAGACATACAATCCAGCTCCCACAGTAAGCAGGTCACTTATTTGAGCAGAGGAGTAGCTATGTAACAGATTTGCATGACCAGATTCTAGAGCAGAGAGGTGAATAATCTAGTCCTGCAAAATACTCTGCCTATTTGCAGTATCAAATTACAAAATGTGATTTTATACAACGTTGATCCATGTTGTTTATATTTAAATATTGCTGACGAAGCGTAGATTACAATTATACCACTGTGTAAGTATAATGGCCAAAGGTGAATAAGATTTGTATATTGAAAAAAAAAAGAAAAAAAAAAAAAAAAGATTGACAGTGTCTATCTCAAAGTCGGAAAATAGTCACATGGGCTTTAACAAATTCATTCTCCTTCACCTCAAGCTCTGTATATAAAATAGCACAGTCTGTGTACGTCAGGTGTGTGTACAGCAAGTGTCATCTTTCAGACTTCCCAGCAACCGCAGAAGAGGAAAATAACAGCATTTGTTTTATCAGGAGTTGTGTCAAAATACAGATGATGATGCAGAACTATAAGAAATGTGATAAATGAGAGGAATCTACCACAAAGACATCCCTCTCATGGAGATTTTAAAAATGGAGCTGAAGTTCAAAAACAATATAAGCATGAAAAGTTCACATATTTTCTTAAGGTCTTAAGGAGACATTATAAATTCAGAAAACAGTATCCATTTGCCTTAGGTACTGTTACACACATGAGTCAGTAAAAAGGAACAGATTTTGCAGCCCCATCCATATCCCTTTTTACCTGACATTTGTATTTGAAAATATAAGAGGTTTTGTTCTTACAATATAAGAAATTGAATGTCTTCATCAGATATAAACAATACTGAAGTCTCAACAGACTGCATCAGTTTCTTAACTTTAAGAAACTGCAAGATTTTAAAGTTTATAAGCATGAATATCCATAAGATTCCAGGATGATATTTGCAAAACTATCAAGAAGACACTGGGGACTTTAGGGCAGCGTGCTGTCTTTTAGTTATAACCAGTAGGAATTCTACAGCTCATAAATGAAAATCACTTCTGGTCATGTTGCCCCCAAGGTTTCATGAAAGGTCTATCAGCTTACAGAAATCTGGGAGCCATCTAACAAAAGACAGTGAGCGCTCCACAAAATGAGGCTGTTTCCAGTGATTTTATAGGTAACATAAATTAGGGATGGTGAACCCTGAAGACACAGGAGCATTCTTCCATGCATATCTAGAACAAGCAGAACAAGGGAAAAAGGTTAGACTGTGCAAGGTATGCATGATAGTTATATCTGTAGTCTTGGGCAACAAGTTGCACACAGAGAACCATAGAGAGATGAAGCCCATAATCTCTCTGTGAAAAATAGATTCACATCTTCTGAGAAAAATAGTACCATGTAATTGAGAAGTAGAGAAGGAAAGTTATACAAGGATATTAATAAACTGTAAACATGGAAGCCATACATTAATTTAAAAATATAATAAAGAGGCTCAGTAATTTGACTGCTTTAAAGCACCTTTTTCCACATGACCTTCGTTTTTTCAATGAATTACTACAAAATATGCAGACCCATAACTTTAACAAAATATTGTTTGCCTTTCTATCAGTCTCTGAAAGTGAAAATCTTGAGAACATTTTAAAAATGCACTCGTGTGTATTTATGTAGTTGGCTGATATAGATTCACTCTTTTCTGCAGCTTTTCACCCAAAAGTGCAGTGAACGTAATCAGTTCGGGATGCTATGGGTTTCTGTTGCAATGAAGACAGAAATTTTTCAATTGTATAAATATTTATGTGCTATAACCAGAGGTGGAGTAGTATGATCCTGAACTAATACTGTATGTTGAGGCTTGGTAGTTGAAATGTCTTATTTCTGGTAGATTTTGAATCATTCTGAAGACTCCGCGATTAGAAACATTTGACATATTGGATTATAAGTGAGTCCTGCTATAGCAACACACAAAGAATCCATTAAATGTTTCACCTTATAGATCTAAGATGTACTTTGAAAAGCATTTCTTCATAGATCTTCTTCGTAGTGTTCATATATACTAAACATTTGCAAATTATCTCCGTTGATACAGGATATCTTCAGAATTCTACAGTCTGTTATCTACTCATTCTTTTTCACTATATTAAGATAATGAAAGATATTGTGAAAGATATTAAATATCTTTCACAAATAGCAAAGTACTTTCAGAAAAAAAGATCTTTCATAGGCATTATTGTCTTTCTCTTCAAAAGCCGGACGCCAAATTTCAATACATCCTCAGTTTTATTGCTAAAAGAAGTCAGTTGTTTCCTTCATACTTTAAAACTATCTCAGACTCTGACTTTTAATTTTTTGAAAGATTCCAGGGCATCATAATCTATTTACCTACAAACAGACTGAATTCTCAAATCAGATGAAGGATAAGATATGACCTTGTCACAGCTTCGTAATGAAGCTTAGTCCTTCTGTAGGAATTCTCTCATGGGAAATAAAACAGGTACACAGTGGATATAAACCATACCAGCTGCATTGAGGTGCTGTAGTTAAACTGAAAAATGCTTTTTCCTCCCCTCTTCCACCCAAACTCTCGAAGTTAATCATCAAAAATTAGCACTCCCTGAGATCTGTGTTAAGCATACCAAGCTGTATACATATCAGAAACTATATTAAGTTCTCCCACATGGCCCAAATACACCAGCTGGATGTTTTCTGCTACAGGATAATATGTAAGTAGCAGACAAAGCTGGTCTATAGGGAAGAGATTTTATAAAATGCACCCTAGCAATATCCCAAGGCATTGCAGTGACATCTTGAAATGAAGTATCTTCTAGAGCACGATGCGGAATGACTGGCTGATATTTCACTTCCTTGACTTTTGGTGAAATTTGCACCAGTGCCAAATCCCTTTGACAAAATACTTCGTTTTTTGGCAGATTTAGTTTGCAAATTACAGGTAGTTTTCACATAAAAATTTTAATGCACCTCTCAAATGACACTGAGTGGACAAGATATGTGGGATGTCAGATATGACTGTTCCTCCACTCCAGTATCATTTAGAGTTGAACTAATAAATAAGAAAAAATAGCCAGGCAGTAGAGGTAAAGGGGAAATTTGTTTCCCAGTGAGATTCTAAAAGGAGATGAAGAGCTGATGGTGCAGATAGGTAGATGAAAGCACCAGATTTAAGGAATTAGAAAGCTGTACGACCTTGTTAATTTTTCTATCAGTTTACAGCTGTATTTAATTAACTTGAGGAGTGAAACTCTTTCTTAAACTCTGATATTAAACAAACACTGCTATTTCTTGAATATTCATTAGCATGAATTAAAATGAAACATTCTGGGTAGAAAAATACATAAGAGAGTTTGTGAAAAATGCCTTGATAGTAGTAACATGAAGATTTAAGAACATCAATGTGTAACAAATTTTGAATGGCAGAATTATTCTTACAAAGATTAATGTGGAAAATTTTATACAAGAAAGTAATTTTCTCTTGCTGAATTGTATGCCTACAGTACTGTTCTGTAGTTTAAAG